CAACAACTACCTAGTCTGTGATATCAGTTAGCTGGAAGTGGACTTTAACTTGTCATCTACCAACAACTACCTTGTCTGTGATATCAGTTATCTAGAAGTGGATGTTAACTTGTCATCTACCAACAACTACCTAGTCTGTGATATCAGTAAGCTGGAAGCAGACGTTAACTTGTCATCTACCAACAACTACCTAGTCTGTGATATCAGTAAGCTGGAAGCAAACGTTAACTTGTCATCTACCAACAACTACCTTGTCTGTGATATCAGTTAGCTGGAAGCAAACGTTAACTTGTCATCTACCAACAACTACCTAGTCTGTGATATCAGTTAGCTGGAAGCAAACGTTAACTTGTCATCTACCAACAACTACCTTGTCTGTGATATCAGTTAGCTGGAAGCAAACGTTAACTTGTCATCTACCAACAACTACCTAGTCTGTGATATCAGTTAGCTGGAAGCGGACATTAACTTGTCATCTACCAACAACTACCTTGTCTGTGATATCAGTAAGCTGGAAGCTGGCGGCATCAACCTACCTACCTATGAAATATGAAAAGAGAAAGATGACTAATGATACCATAATTTCTGTTTATAAAACAAAAATCTGAGATTTTAAAAAGAATATTGTTGGCACTTCCTCTATTTTCTTTGACAAAATAATGATTCCGCAAGACACTGAGAATTGAAAGAAGAATTCTTTTAAAGAAATGTCAAATTCTAATGTGGGATAATTGGTTGACAAATCGTTTCTTGACAAGAACAGCATTTTTCACTGAAAAAAAAACCAGTATTTTTTGCTCAATGTCAAACATGTTTCCATGGTGATGACCCAAAGCGGTATGATAATTATTCAACACAAAAACACTTCAACTATCGTAAGTTCGATAACTTTCGCTAAAATAACGTTCATCTCGCCAAAAAAATCTGTAAATTAGTTTAATTTGCCAATCTCGGCAAAACGTACTTAATGGTTGTAATAATTAGTTGAAGAATTTGAAAGTACAAGACATTTCTTGTCAATCTAGAATTTATTTCAGGATTTTTTTTAATGTCTTACTAGAATCAGTTTAGCTCTGTGATTTAAATAGACTGCACTTAAGATGCAAGAGATTCTAACATTGAAAATTGCTATTGATATAAAATAGAAATTTCTACAGAATCATCAGTCAAATTGATTATTATAGCCTACTGTGTACCAGAAATAGAAAAGAGAAAAACTTCCTTCATTGCACACTGCATGGCTTTGTCTATTTTCATCAATTACTTTAAAAGCTAAAGTATTGGACATTTCAAATGAAAATTGAAAAGGCGTGTGCTTATGTTGTTGTCCTGGCAAAATTTCCCTTTTTGCACACTGCATGGCTTTGTCCATTTTCATTAATTTGTTTAAAAAGTGAAGAAGGATTGGACATTTCAAATGAAATCAAAAATGTTGTTCTGGCAAAATTTCCCTCTTTGCACACAGCATAGATTTGCCCATTTTAATTCAATATTATACAAGGAGTGGCAAAAATTCCCTCTTTGCACTCTCATAAATCAGTTGAAAAGAAAGATAAGATATATAAATTCATTTCAAATATAGCAATGAACACTTTTTTACATCAGTGGCTGCAGATTCTTAAAAACAGGCAACGAATATTTGAGCGAGTTTCACTTTCAGTTAAACTGTAGCGCTGTTGGACTGTAGCTGCAGATTTGATCAGATTCTGAAGAAGAAGAAGATATATCTAGTTAGATGTTGAATGTATTTGAAATATTGACTGTAGAATATGAACTGACTGGCTAATAGAATAACTCCACAAAACTCTATTTTTCATCATCCAATTACCACCATTTCTGGTGTTTACTATTTTCTACACGTATCCCTGGAGACCTTGTTATGCTGTCTGATGAATGAGCACGAATCAATTTCACGTCTGATGTGAAGGAGTTTTCCCGCCAATTTCTGATAATTAATAGCAGACGTTGGTTGGGTCTTGAACCAGAACGATTCAATCATTCTGTAAACAGGAGGAATAATGTGATTAGGTTCCCAATTGGCTTTCACTCGACTCGCATCTTTAGCTTTAATTACCTTGTTTATACCAAAATAATATCTTAATAAATTAATATACTATCCGATTCCAAGTTGTTTTCTCCGACATGTACTCAAGACAAAAGTTTCCTAGTTCTTAACCAGACACTAAATTATATTTTTTTTCGTAATATAATATCATTATAATCTTCCATAAAATAATATGTTCAAATTGTTTTATCAAATTTTTCAGTTGGTTTACAGATTTTGTAAGAGATTTACATAGATTGTAAAGAGGTTTTCTAAATTTTATTTGTGTATCAAGACATTTTTAGCCTCTATTTGCATTATTCCAATTTTTAGTCTGACGTCTGTCAGTCCTGTAAATTCAGAAATGCTTAACCGTATTTGACGGCAAGGCTAATAATATATAAGGGCCATTCCAATACATATAAAAAATTTAGAAAACCACTTAACAACATTATTATCGATCAACTTCAATCAATCAAACATTTCGCTTTGTTAAATTTCCTTTAAGAGCTCAATTCAAAAACATCAAGAATGAAATTTCCTTGTTAAAACCTATTAAGTCAAGTAATAACCAAACTTTATATTTGTTATTTCAATTGATTCATTCGTGTTGTTCTTTTTTATTTGTGAGTTAAGTCATTCTCCAACTTAATCTCTAATTAATCATTACCCTGAAAAACTTAAATCTTGATTTTTTCACTTTTCCCATTACCAAACGGAGCAAACATCCCCTGACTCAAGAACTCGATGATTTTATAACTTTTCTCACCAGGTTTGTTAACTATGATCATTTATTTGGATAATCTATTGTGCGAAAATTCAAAAATTAACTTTGATATGTAGATCATCACCATTGTCCAACAGGAACATGTGTTGTAAATCCTGCACTAATCAAAGATACACAGACAACGCAATCCCGAATTCCACGATTTGAAATCTATTTATAGTAACAGTCTACATCATCGTCGTATAATTCCTTACAAAAGTGACAATCAACAGACGACTTAATTCTAAAAATAGTAACGTGTGACAACACAGCAGGAAATTTAGAGTCTAGACGAGTCAAAGAGATTATTTTAAGGAAATTTATATTTATCAGCCTAAATCCAAATTAAACCTTGATAGCAGTAAGCCATCCTAGAGGGTGTAGACACAAGAGACATGTGACAATTGATCAGGAAATTCTAGAAAAGTCTAGTCTAATCAAGATTATTTTAAACCAAAGTTAAAACTGGATTTCTCAGTCAAGTTAAACGACAATAGTTCATAAGAAATCTAGCAGTGAGCCAACCTAGAGGCTGTAAACACAAGAAATTCAAAGTCTAGCCGAGTCGGAGAGATTATTTTAGACCAGATATACAACTATGTTTATCAGTCAAAATCCAATAACAAGCATCTGATTGGACGATCATTAGAATTAATCTTAAATCCAGCCTTATCGATCAATCTTCTGTCTTAAATTCTTTAATTGACCTTAGTTACGACTTGTGTTAAGCAAAATGTCCCAAGTAAATTTCAACTTCATTAAGTTTGGTAAGAACAAGATTGCAGCTTGAGATAGTCGCTACTTTTACATTTTCTATTGGTGTCTGATGTGAAAGGGTTAGAATGTGGTTCTTCTTCATAAAAATATAAAAAATTCGCTCCATAAATTTATTTCACAAAGTTCATAAATCACGTTCATTCTAAATACACAATATATAATACCCCTCTAGGGAACAATTCCCAATTACCTAAGCAAGAACAATTATCCAGACACAAATGGAAATTGGAGGGTCTAATGGAACGTAACAGGTGGTTGTGGTTGAAAATCCCCATCGTGAATTGATAAGCTACAAGACTTAGTTAGTCTGGGTTGTACTGAAAGTTACACTGTGAATTGATTTGTAATATTCTAATACAGTTTATAGATACTAAAGGGAGATAACAAGATTTTTAAATTGATATATCAGACTACAACGAATTTAATTCCACCAAAAAATAAAAAATGGAGCACCATATTCATCATCTTTTGACGAGACCTGCCATCTTGAAATAAATGATAGAAATTATGAATTGGGAGAACAAACGAGCCTCGTACTAAGTTAACCTAACGTTAGCCTACCATGTGTTTGTGCGGTGATTGTGTGGTAATGCTTAGAACTGATCAAATTTTTTTGGTCATTTGGTTATACGAATTCGGTAAGAGTAGTTGCTTGGTCACAGTAATATGTCCTGTGATCAAATAATTCTGACATGTGTGTGTGTGTTTTATTTTGCCCATTTTAGACAAAATAATTTCCTTGGTTGAATTTGTTTTAAACTTAAATTGTGTTTTTCTTGTGATTGTAAAGATGTATTCTAATATAATCAATATATATTCTATATTACATTTAGGTGAAGATTTGTGTCTGTGAAGGTAAAGCAGGGGAGATAATAACTATGACCTTACCTGAAACTTTTCCGTAAGCCAACAGGTGTCACTGATATCCTAGGTACGAATAATTGATTAGGCCGTTTGACGCTCGCCATATCTTCCGTGGATTTAGTGAAATATCTACGTTCTCCGACTAACCTCCACGCTTTACTTTCTGGTTCCAAATAGCTGTACGCCTGAAAAAATAAACAATATGGCAGATAATGACTATTGTGGCACTGAATGTCTGACTGTCGTATGGTTTGTCATTCCAGAAGTTCACAGTCAGCGGTAAGCTTACCATTTTCCATATTTTTGGAAATTGGTTTGTTATTAACTTGTTTCTTGGAATCTGTTCCACTTTTGATAAATATGTGACAATATGAGCTAAATTCGAGGATAAAAATAAGATCCCAGCTGATGATATTAGCTGATATAAAACGTAAAATAAAAAAAAAGTTTAAATCGATTATGTTTATGGCCTCATAAATTTCTTCTGGATTATTTTTAAAAGAGAACTGTCTTACATCTGATGATTTAGATTTTGTAAACAAGTTAAAATTAATAAAATACACATATAAAGACTAGAAAATAAGAATGGTGTAAATAAAATACACATATAAAGACTAGGAAATAAGAATGGTGTAAATAAAATACACATATAAAGACTAGAAAATAAGAATGGTGTAAATAAAATACACATATAAAGACTAGAAAATAAGAATGGTGTAAATAAAATACACATATAAAGACTAGGAAATAAGAATGGTGTAAATAAAATACACATATAAAGACTAGAAAATAAGAATGGTGTAAATAAAATACACATACAAAGACTAGAAAATAAGAATGGTGTAAATAAAATACACATACAAAGACTAGGAAATAAGAATGATGTAAATAAAATACACATACAAAGACTAGAAAATAAGAATGGTGTAAATAAAATACACATATAAAGACTAGAAAATAAGAATGGTGTAAATAAAATACACATATAAAGACTAGGAAATAAGAATGGTGTAAATAAAATACACATATAAAGACTAGAAAATAAGAATGGTGTAAATAAAATACACATACAAAGACTAGAAAATAAGAATGATGTAAATAAAATACACATACAAAGACTAGGAAATAAGAATGATGTAAATAAAATACACATACAAAGACTAGGAAATCAGAATGATGTAAATAAAATACACATATAAAGACTAGGAAATCAGAATGATGTAAATAAAATACACATATAAAGAAAAGGAAATCAGAATGGTGTAAAAAGAAGCTATAAAGTGTATCTGATACACATACAAAAACTCTTAGTTTAGAAATATAATCAGAAATAATCTAACCAACAAATGTTTTTAGTCTTATACAGAATTTACTCATACTGCCTTATCTTTTAGAACTGATGGTATCTTTACTTTATATTTTATGAGGTGTATTGTAGATTACCTGTACAGTTTTCATGATGAAAACTGATAGCATCAATTTGTATATTCCAATTTTCAATCAATTCCACTAAAACATAGTGTTCACAAAATATGCTTGTAGGCCCTTTGCAATAGTGACGTCAAAAAACGCTTAGTTTTAGTGGAATTACAGGAACCACAGACGTCTGATTGAAAATTGGAATATGCAAATTGATACTTTCAGTGTCCCCGATATACATACAAAACTTGGGAAACCTTCTTAAAATCCCTTTAACTCCACCCTATTTTAATATAAAATTCCATTAATTTCTGCACCCTTCATACCAAATACAATGCATTTGTTAAAGGGTTATTTTCAACAGAAAATTTTTAGGCCAAGATCCTTTAATCATTTAAGTATATGGCATAATAAATCACTTCCAGGAATTTCTAAAAGACAAAGTTCAGTTCTAATTTAATTCTGATTTCACCAAAATTGTTCAACAGACATGTTGATGAAAATTTACTGTTTTTCTATAATATAACAGGGTTTGAGATCCATTAGGTATAGTTTGAAATGTTATTGTCAATTACCCACAAAGAAAACCAGATCAGAAGCTGATAGATCAAAGTTCTCAGCAGGGTTAACACAGCAGTCAGCCAACCTAGAGGTTGTAAATTTCCATTAATTCTTGTTCTAAGGCCTATTGTCAATTAGTGACAGACCAATTCATAAAGACAAAAAGATCAGAAGATAAATCATCAAGGTCTTGAAAGACTCATATAGTTGGCTAATTCCCTCATACATTTTGGGAAGGAGGTGGAAGTCTGGGGACCAAATTTGGCCATAAAACCATGTGATTAAATCTTGTTGTCAAGGGATGCCAGGAAACTGTTTCTGGTCCCCCGTCAAGAGTTCTGGCACCTATCATGCAGCAGACAGGTTCACAAGATGGTCTGGTACAAAGACAATAATAACACTACAGCTACAGTTCTAATGTCTGTGATTCATTGAATAATTGTATTGGAGGTGACAACAGTTTTTTTCAGTCTGGTTGAGATATTGCACTTAGTCTAATAACTTTTAAGCCAACACTATACCAAGATTGAATCCCCCACTCTAAGGTTAGTAAGTAAGCGTTTGCTTGCTGAGCCTTTTCAGCAACCTGTTTCTGTTTCACGAGACTTCGAGTCAAGGTGATACTTACCTAATGTTTATGACTATTGTAATGTAAACTACAGATTATGTATTTATCCAAACAACGAGGTCACAATATACAGCACAGGTAACAATAATTTTCTCTGTCACCTCGTGATTTTCTCTGTTTTATTTTCTATGTCACCTTGTGATTTTCTCTGTTTAATTTTCTCTGTCACCTTGTGATTTTCTCGTTAATTTTCTCTGTTTAATTTCCTCTGTCACCTTGTGATTTTCTCTGTTTAATTTTCTCTGTCACCTTGTGATTTTCTCTGTTTTATTTTCTCTGTCACCTTGTGATTTTCTCTGTTTAATTTTCTCTGTCACCTTGTGATTTTCTCTGTCACCTTGTGATTTTCTCTGTCGCCTTGTGATTTTCTCTGTCACCTTGTGATTTTCTCTGTCACTTATAAAAAAAGTGATCACAAGCAACTCGAGTCAAGAATTTACTCCAGTTTTATCTGAAAATATCTTATTTCACTTTTAACAGAATCTCACAAATCAAACATCATGATCTATTACAGATATACTTGCAAATATCTGTCAAAGACTGTATCAAGAGAATTGCCAACGAAATAAGCAGGTGTTATTCGAAAATTTTATAAAATCCCACGTAGTGAAGTAATATATTGTAGATAAAATTTTTTAACAAAAGTAGCACAATATTTACTTGAAATTGAAGAAAATCACAAATTTAGAAATGATATATCAGACAATATTAGTATTAGTAGAAATATTCACTCCTATAATAGTCAAGAAAGAAGAAAATCACCAATTATATGCACAATTTTCCAAGATTCACCAAGAAAACAAACAAATCCGACCAACAAAATTAGCATTAGCAGAATTATTCACTCATAAGCTATTTCAAAAATCCAGATAATCACCAACTTTAAGCACAATCTTTTCCAGATATATCAAATCAACACAATCAAATAAATAAAATAAGATTCAGCAGAAATATTCACTATGATGGTATATGAACATTTTGGAAAATCACTAGATTCATCTACAAATCAACAAAATCAGCATAGTTGAAATATTGACTCCAAGCTATTCAAAAATTACAACATCAAACATGGTCTACTGCAGTCTTCTTTGGAATAATCCAGACCAAATATCAGTATAAGTCTACCCATTCACTCTAACACTATTCAAACATCCAGAAAAATCTCCAATTTTAGAATAATTTCAAAAAGAAATAATTCTTACTTTAAAAATCAGAGCAAATCACAGTCGTTTTGATGTCACGACAGCCATCTCTAACAGGATAATTTTAACTCTATAAATGTTCAGCAAGTTGGATAATAAGTCGGTTATTTAGAAAATAAGTCGGTTATAAAATAAGTCGGTTATTTAGAAAATAAGTCGTTATAAAATAAGTGATAATAACAAGATTTATAATTTAATACTGATCCTAGCCAAATAATTACCCCTGCACCTAAATTACACTTCGTAATAAAAACTATGGTAAAAAAATAATAATTGGACTCAGAAAACCATAGATACACAATTTCTCAAGGTACTTTCAAGAGGCTGTACCATTGAAGAAACAGAAGCAGACACTCTGCAAGGCAAGTTAAAGAGAATTTTGATATGAAATGGAGTTTTAATATAAGCTGGTCCTTCAGCAAACCTATTGGTATTGATCTTTCCTAGATTATCTGGTCCCATTTACAGGTGGGTCGACTAGAATTTTGAATGAAGATGACTTATTGAAGGTCTGTCACTAGTTGATCGAGATTAGAATCCATGACCACTGTTGTTCGATATAACCTTGCAAATGACATTATATAATTTCCTATCATTTTAACTGACTATGCTATAAAATCCACCAAACAGTGTAAGTAGGGTCTGCACCTTGGAAAAAATGTATGAATAATAAGTCTATGGGCCTGCACTTTTAAAAAGATGTATGAATTATAATTCTTGGATACTTAAAGAGATAATTAAAGTGACATTTCTTGGAGAGAGATCACATTAAATAACGGAACACAATTTTTATGGTATATTAATGAGTTATTAATTGTATACATTGTTTCAACAATTTACATTGTCATCATCAGGTGAAAAATAAAGTATGAATAATATGGATATGGGCCTGCACCTTGAAAGAGATATATGAATAATAATTATGTGGGCCTGCACCTTGAAAGAGATATATGAATAATATTTATGTGGGCCTGCACCTTGAAAGAGATATATGAATAATAGGTCTGTATCAAGAGATTAATATAGTAAAAATTCCAGTCAGCTCTGATCCCTGGAGCACATCATTCCTTCGTTATTTCTGGTGCTGAACTATATGTATCACGCCAATTCTGTCGTCAAATGTCTTCCAGCCAAATATTCCCACTCATAAGTCATTATTTTCATTGTTTATTTCTTCTCACAAACAATATTGACCTCTTTTTTTTATACAAAACAACGCAAAAAACCAAAGAAATATTATTGATTACAGGCTGTAGTACATTTGGGTAGAAAGTTGGAATCCTAATATGACGTCATTTCCTTGGTTGCATTGAACAAAGTGGTCATTAATTCTCATCTCAGTGAAATAAACCATCTTTCTTCATTATTCCTATCAAGCCAGATGTAAATGGGTGCAGATAATCTGGGAAAGATCAATGCCAAAGAGTTGGACGGCACGTTTAGGGCCAGACACAAAAGGTCACATTTAAAGCTGACCCATTAATGAATCCATCAAGACATTACCAGATATTCTAAAACGTCCCTATGCCCCAAGAGATAAACCTACTACAAAATACAGTTCAGCGGTCGTCTTTTCTAGTTTAAACTAAAACTGATAATTCAATCTTTTCAAATTGATTTTTAGAAAATAGATTTAAGATTAAATTCACATCTACTATTGTAAAATTTAACTATGTTATCTAATTTGTGTATTAGTAAAGACATCGAACTGTGTTTAACTCAAGGGAAATAAAGACTGTTAATTTATAATTGACAAATGTAGTCTGTCAAACTTCTCTGTAATTTGAATTCATCTAACAGATTATCTTGTAAGATCTTATCGATAGTAATGATTAGTATACAGAGAGATGAAATAGGTACATACTGTCTCTACTGCTCTATTCCCTTTTGGACTAATGAAATAGAGTTTTACATCTTACTGTTTTGTATCTTATTGAACTAATGAAATGAAATAGAGTTTTATATCCTACTGTTCTGTATCTTATTGGACTAATGAAATGAAAAAGAGTTTTATATCCTACTGTCCTGTATCTTATTGGGCTAATGAAATGAAATAGAGTTTTATATCCCACTGTTCTGTATCTTATTGAACTAATGAAATGAAATAGAGTTTTATATCTTACTCTTCTGTATCTTATTGGACTAATGAAACGAAATGGAGCATTATATCCTACTGTTCTGTATCTTATTGGACTAATGAAATGAAATGGGAGTTTTATATCCTACTGTCCTGTATCTTATTGGGCTAATGAAATGAAATAGAGTTTTATATCCCACTGTTCTGTATCTTATTGAACTAATGAAATGAAATAGAGTTTTATATCTTACTCTTCTGTATCTTATTG